GTATTCCCTGTTTTCTTTCCAGTCCATTCCACTGTTCCTTTTTATACTGCCTTCATAATTTCCTATGTATTGTGTCTCTGTCTTAAGACAATTTGTTTAGTAACTCCTCTGCTTTTGCTTGGTCCAGGACCAACACCACCTAAACACAGAACAAAAATAATTCTGTCCATCCTATGTCTTTCTTTGCATGTTACTGTAGTCTGCTGAGAGACTCATAGACTTTAAGGTCAGAATGGACCGTTTTGATCATCTAGTCTGACCCCCTGCACAATTCAGGCCACAGAATCTCACCCACCCACTGCTAGAATAATCCTCTCACCTATATCTCAGATATTGAAGTCATTGAAACGATGGTTCAAAGACCCCAAGATGCAGAGAATCCTCCTGCTAATGACCCGTGCCCTATGCTACAGAAGAAGGCGAAAAACCTCCAGGGCCTCTACCAATCTACCCTGGAGGAAAATTCCTTCCCGACCCCAAATATGGCGATCAGCTGAACCTTGAGCATGTGGGCAAGACTTAGAAATTGAAAGCCCAGAACTTACTGGAAGCAAGACCTAGTCAGACTAAAGCCATTAGTTCATTATTATGAAGCTGTAAGCATAGGTGTAGCACGTTTGTGATGTTTGACAACTATTTTTAAATGAGAAATTTAGTATTTTATTGATTTTAAAAATAAAAACAGCTTAAATAAAACATTGATTTAAATAATATCCAACTTTTATTTTTTATTAAATTGATTATCCACCCTGATATTTAGTTAGGGTTATTTAAAGTAAAAACTATGGACAGATCAGGCCAAGAATATTTGTTTATTACCATGATCTCTCCATGACTCTTACTAAACATACCCATGACTAAATTGTAGCCTTAGCTCTTAAGTCATGTTTTCCAATCCTATAATTGTTCTTGTGTTCCTTTTCTGAAAGTCCTTTCCAATTCATCAACGTTCTTCTTAAATTGTGATCTCTAGAACTGAACATAGTATTCCAGTCATCGTCAAATGAGTGCCAAATACCTCCCACCTCTTACTCTATATTACCATGTATATACTAGAGATGTTAAAATGAGGTTAATTTATTAATTGAGTAGTCAGCAGAATTTTTATCAACTACTCAATTTGTAGGGATGGCTCCTACTACATTTTAAATGCAGAGCTGCAGCCCCCACTGCAGCTCTGTATTTAAATGCATGTAGTCAATAACAATCAAACTTTTGCTTATTGGTTAATTGACTACTGTGTTAGATCCCTAGTTTATACATCTAAAGTAGGGGTTGGCAAGTTCTGGCACGCGAGCCTCACTGACAGATCCACGCCGACCATATGTCATGGAAAGCCCTGCTGGACATTTCACTACTTGCGGGGAAGAAGCAACCAAGAAATGATTCCATGCACTGCTATTGCTTTATGTGTGGCTCAACAGCCTCCTCCCCCCACATATAGTGTAAGTGGCTCCATTGGAGTTTTGATGGGGGAGGGGTTCTGTGCATTTTCTGGCCACTCTGCCACTGACTTTCCTACCACCGTGAGCCGCATGGCCCCTTTCCTGCCCCCATTGGACTTCTGCCACCCCTGTTCAGGTCACATTGCTGCCTCCTACTCCAGGCCACTTGTTGGTAAAATGGCCACTGCTGCTGGGGGCAGGCAGCTCTAAGGTAAAATCTGGTGGAACTGCTTTTGCATCTCTGTGCATAGGAACTGCTGGTGAGTGGAGTGGGCAGTGTAGAGGTGAACATGGGGCCCTGCACTGAGATGCTGCAGATGGCTGAGGAGGCCTTTTGAAGTGGCAGCTTCAAGCTGGTGGATGAGCTCTACAGCTTGCTACTGGCGAATCTGCTGTAGCCTGAGCAAGGCCTCTGCCTGCACCAGGGGGACACGCTGGCCTGTGCCAGCTACGTGTCTGAGGTCCTGGAGGCCTACAGTGCCACTGCTTGGCTGGCCTGCCTGCAGCCTGGGGAGCTGGCCGAGAGCTTGGCGTTCAGCTTGCATGAGAAGGCACTGCCAGTGGGAGCAGCAGGGGTGCAAAGCCAGGTAAGTGCCTCTCTTCATGCCCAGACCCCTATACCCCAATCCTCCCTCTCTCACCTCCTGTCAAGACCCCCACACCCTCCCTTGCTCCTATGCCTTGCCTCCTGGCCAGACACCGTACTCCCAGCCTGCTTCTGCACTCCACAATCCACCCAGACCTCGCACCCTTCTCACCCCCTCCTGCACTCCATCTTCTGGCCAGATCCTGCACCTCTCTCCTTATCCCACTTGCTGGCAGTTCTGTCCTGCACATGGAACCCGTCATTTTGTCCCTACTGTAGAGCCTAAGGAGGTCCACAAAATCCACTAACTGTAAATAAAATAAAATAAAAACTGGAGGTACGTTTATTTATATATATATATATATA